AGGGTAGGGGCCAGCACCACTTCCCTTGGAAGTTGGTTCCAGCTCCTAGCCGCCCTAACTGTGAAGTAGTTTTTGCGGATGTCCAATCTATACCTCCTCTCCATCAACTTGTGCCCATTACTCCTTGTTATGCCAGCGGGTGCTAGGGGAAACAGCGTCTCCCCCAAACCCTTCTGGTCCCCCCCAGTGAGTTTATAGACGGTCACCAGGTCCCCCCTCAGCCTTCTCTTGTGGAGGCTGAATAGGTTCAGGTCCCGCAGTCTCTCACTGTAGGGTCTTCCTTGTTGTCCCCGGATCATGCGGGTGGCCCTCCTCTGGACCCTCTCCATGTTGTCCACATCCCTCCTGAAATGGGGCGCACAGAACTGGACACAGTACTCCAGCTGTGGCCTGACCAGCATTGTGTAGAGGGGGAGGATCACCTCCTTGGCTCTACTCTGAACTTTCCCCAGTTTTCCAAGATTTATTAAAAGCAAGCATCACTGGACCAGCAATCTGCTCAGCAGCTCTAGGACACTGAAGTATAAGTTATGCCCTGCAATGCATTTCTAGGATTTCATTAGATCCCGGTGCTCTAACAAAGCCCCCTTCCTTTTGCCCTTAACCCTGCTCGTCATGGGTTCTCCCACAGTGTCTATCTTCCTTCATCCATTATTTATACACACCACAAATTCTAATCTCTCTTGATTTCTAACAAGTTCCCCTTTTTCCACTTCTTACATGTTGCGTTTTTAATTTCTAAATGCTACCCTTCACTTCCCCGACAAGTCTGGATGGGCTGCTCCCCCAGACTGAGCTCTCTCGATTGTGGCTTCTTGTCCATGTTCTCACGTTTCTTAAAGGGCCCCCAATACTTTCATTCACATTTTTTCTACCTAATTTTTTCCCCCCCTCAGTCTTATTTCACCTAGCAGTTTCTTGAACTTTAGAAATGTAGCCCTTTGAAAGCACCAGCTATGCCCAAGTATGCACATACACACACTCCTCAGTATATGCAAACCAGGTCGTGGTCACGTCTCTTTTGCACTACTGCCAACTTCCAGAGTGCAGTGATCGTCTCCGACACAGCCAGGCTGAAAAATAATCATCTTATCGTGGGTGCAAGACCGTGTGTTCAAAACCCATCGCCCACAGCACTTAGAAGCAGTGATGGAGTTTTACCGCTGACAGCATCAGGCTGCCCCCTTATGTCTCCCAAACCGCAGCACCTGCCGCAACATTTTTTTCCTTCCAGACACACAGGATAGCAGCTGAAGGAAGAACTCGGCCTATTCCCACCCAGCCCTCCTGGGTCTTGTTCGAGTGCACACTGAGGATGCCGCATTTCTGCCTCGGCTGTTACTAATGCAAAACCGCCACCTCCAGCACCCCCCTCTCTTACCCATTCTTTGCCCTTGCGCAGTGGAAACGGCATCACAGCTTCTTCTCTGGCACTCTCTCAGAGCAGTTTGCAAAGATTCACAAAGCCAATTAAGCCTCCTCATTGTTCCCTTGCTGCAGGTGGGGACAGTGAGGCACAAGCAAGGAGCAGGGAAGTGTCGCTGCCCAGCAAGCCAGCGCCTGCCTGGACAGAGACGCGCGCCATCAGGGAAGCGCTGCGGGCTGAATGCGGAGCCCCCGCAGGGTCCAGGTGAGCGCGCCGGGCGGCTCGGGGCCCTGGCGCTTGGTACGGCTCCGTGGAGGCGCAAGCCGGGCCCGCGTCACTAGCGAGCGGAAGCTGTTGCCGTCAGACGGCGGCTCAGCGACCCGCGTGGAACGGGCCCGGCAGCCGCAGGGACGCAAGGCGAAGCGGAGGGCCGGGAACCGGCTGTCCCCGTTCGGCAGCTCTCGCGGTGTCTACGCCGCAGGCTGCGCCGAGGAGCGCGGGTGCAGGGGCCCTCAGGACGCCCAGCGAGGGCAGCTGGGCCCTGCAAGCCGCTCTCCCTTACAGCACAGCTCCTCACCAGGACACTGGGGGGCAGCCCCGCGCTGCCTGCACCGGATCTGCTTGGCACAGCGCTTTGCTATGACAACAGGGGCTTTTGCCCCAGCCGCTGTTTGCAGCGCCGTGCGCTCTCTCCTTCCCCAGCCTGTGGCGCGTGCAGACGCAGCTGCTATCTCAGAGCAGAAGCAGGACTTCGCAAAACCTGCCAGAGGAAGCCAACCCGAGAAAGACAGAGGACCTCTGTGTGCAGGGAGGGACGCCCCACCCGTGCAAACAGGCGTGGAGGCACCAGGAGGAAGTGTGCAGAGCCCGGGCCCAACGCCTGCTCCCTCCAACCCCACTGCCTGAGGCCTGGCTGCTCCACCACGAGGCGCGCTGCGGAGGACGGCGGCTCCGCCGGCGCCAGCCTGGAGGCAGCAGGAAAACAGACCCGTGCCGCGATGCAACACCCAACGAGCCTGGCACCGGACAGCCATGTTTCCCAAATGCCGGCCGGCCGGCCGGCCGGCCTCCCTCCCGCAGCACCCTGCCCCGGCCGCAGCAAGTCAGCCCCACTCGCATGCACCACTGGCTCGACCCCTCGGGGATTTCCAGGCAGCGAGGCCCAAGAAACCAGCTGAGACGTCACATGCCACCTCTTCACATCCTATTAACCCCACTATTGCCCCTGCCCTGGGGACCCTTTCCCTGCTTCATCACGGTGGCTGTCCCTTCAACAGGCAGTCCGCACAAAAAACATGCACCGTGGGGGTGCCGTGCTCAGTTCCACCCCTTAACGATCCCACTCGGGGCATTTGCCATACAAAGAGGTCTCTTTCCTACAGCTGGCCCAGCAAACGCTGCCCGAGGTCTGGAAGCAAAACTATGAGGCTTCTTTCCAGCTCAGACACTGCCACCAATGACTCTGCAGCTGGGACTCAGCTGATTACGCTGATGATATAAAAGCCTGACAAGGATCCAGCTCGCACACCTGGAACTGTTCCCTCTCTGCAGGCCTGGCACCACTGGACCCAACTGCCCTGGTTAGACACAGGGAAGAAGGCGCTTTGTCCACGGCACCGGCGAAGCACGGAAGAAAGCCCCTGGGCAGGGAGAGGGGAGAGTGCCCAGGGGAACTGGCACATGCCTTGGGCATTGCAGTGTTTAGGGGAAGGTGTGGGGGGCTGTGAAATAGGGGGCGGAAGGAAGGAAGGAAGGAAGGGGTTAACAGACCAAGGGCTGGGACAGGGAAGGAGAGAAGAAAAAAAGGGCACCCCCCGCACAGGTGTGCCCACACACCCAGCACGCATGTGCCCACACGCCTTGCCCGGCACTGCCCCCTCCGCGTCCCGTCCTGCGTGCCCCACACACCCTGCCCCACTCCCCCATCCTGGTCTCGGTGTCGTCAAGCGAGACTTTCATGTCCTAAATGGATTTGCACCTCCAGCAGAAGCAGCACCGGCCAAGAAGCCTGGAGCGTGCAAAGGGGGTGACCCGAGAAGGGACGGGGCGGTGCAGAGACGTGGGGTAGTTTAGTGCAGGGAAAGTACCAGGTTTGGAGGCACGGGGAGGAACCACGCGGGGGTTCAGGCGGCTGTCAGGATCAATGTCCTGAGACTGAGAGTGACCTGTAGGGAAGCCACGGGAGCCCAGCACCTGCTGTAATGCCCTGGCTGTGAATGCCGCAAGGACAAGTCCTAGGAGACAGAAAGGGGCAGTCTCTCAGGCCCTCGTCATCTCCAACTGCTGCAAAGGCAGCCGGGGACAATTTTACACCTTCTTAGCAAAAATAAGAATGCAGAAGAGGCAGAAACAGCAGATACGGCCGAGCCTGCTGTGGATCTGCTACACTGAAACGCCTTTGGATCAGCGGGCCCAGATCCGTGGCACCTCCAGACTTCAGAGAGCCAGCGGAGGAGCTCTCTGTGTCACTCATGCTCCTTCAACAAACTTGGAAACCCTGGGGCAATTCCAAGGGCTGCCAAGGACCCCAGCCATTGCTGGGGGGAAGAGGAAAGCCCAGGGAGCTGCAGTCATGAGCCAAACATCAGCCAGGGTTTAATAACAGAGCAGGCAGCTCAGGATGCTGCCAACGAGGCGTGGGAGGCTAGAAGCGCGATTAATGCCAGGCAGTGAGGTCTCAGGAAAGGCTGGCCATGTGAAGCAGGCACGCTGGCTTTTTTTTGTTTTGGACAGAATTGCAGGTCAGGGTGAGAGGCAGCTCTGCTGATCCAGGGAAGGCATTTGGATTAAAACATTTGCATGATAAAGCACCAATAGGGCACACATTAGATGGATTCAAACCCGGCAGAGTGCAATTTGCAATAGGCAGGCATCAGCGAGCGGGGCCAATTTTAGCAGAGTCGCCCCCCTGGGATAGGTCCTGGTCAAATACCACTTAATACTTCCACTGCTGATCAGGATGATAATGCCAGATCGCTGCTGGGAAGGTTTGCAGATGACACAGGCTGGTGCTGCAGTAAGTACAGGAGAGATGCATTAGTGTCAGTGAGCTCTGAATCACCTTTACATTTATATCTGGTTAAATGCGTTTTAATGCAGCAAAATGCCATGCCTTGTGGGGAGGCAGAGCCTGCTGGGGAAGGGCTATCACTGATAGCCATCTTGGCATGTGCCAGGCCCTGCGCTGGCCTACGTCAGTCGGTAATGGCGTGCGCACATCCACGTGGCCACTTCTCAGACAGGACAGGTTCGCCACGTCTGCTCCCTGCTGCCTCAGCCAGGTCGTAAGACCCCAGGGCAGCCGGGCTCTCCGGAGGTCACGTCTGGTCCGACTCTGGGCAGGACCAGCCCCGTCCAAAACTGTCCCAGACATGTCCTGCTCTGACCTGTTTCTGTCACTGCAGCCCTGCCCTGTGCACAGCGAGCAGGCCCATTGCCCAAAGGCACCCAGAGCCCCTGGCCCTGCCCCAGATGCCAGGGGACAAGGGCTGGCAGCATCCTGCCAAAGCAAGGACGGTTCAAATGCCCTTGAGAGATCCCATGCCAGGCCGTGACCCCGCTACAGAGGAAGGCAAAACCCTCTCCAGCCCGTACCAGTCTGACCAGGGGGAAAATCCCTTCCTGACCTCAAATACGATGTCAGTCTGACCCCGAGCGCAGGGGCAAGGCCCTCCAGCCACGACCCTGCGGGTTGGTCCCAGCAGGAGCATTGGCCAGCCCAGCCCCATCTCCAGCCTGGGCTGCAGCAGCACCAGCGCCTCTCCGGGAGGCGAAGCCCCCGATATCTGTAGCAACAGGAGAGGAAAAGATTCCCTCCCAGCCCCACGCAACAAGCAGCAAAGCCCAGGAAGCACCAGACACGGCTTCCAGCGCTTGTTCTTTCAGCGCTCTCCACACAGCTGCTCCCAGGTCACCCCTGCGCAATTTCTTCCTGAAGACCTCCAGTGATGGGGTCCCATCCCTTCCCCGGGCATCTAGTCCGTGGCCTCCCTGCTCCAACAGCGAAGAAATGTTCCCGGAGATCCAACCTAAGCCTCCTTTCCTGCAGCTTCAAGCCGCTGGTCCATGTCCTGCTCCCTGCAGCAACACAAGAAAGGAGTCTCTCTCTCTCTCCTTTATGGCAGCTCTGCAGCTTTACGTCCCCCATCAAGCTGCACGTGCCCGCTTCCTTTGGCCTCTCCTTGCAGGGCTGTCTTCCAAGCCCTTGATCATTTTTAATCACCCACCTCTGGACCCTCTCCAACTTCTCCACGTCCGTGTGCACATCCCAGCACGGAGGGACTCGGGGGCTGCCCGCCTTGCCCAGTGGGAAGCTGAGACAAGCGGTCCGTGAATCCTTGGCAGAGAGCAGTGGCCGCCCAAGCTGCCGCTCCAGCGAGAAACCACTTGAGACCAGGCAATCACAGACATTCAGGGATAAAATCCCCAAGTTTAGTAATTCAGGAGACTACTGCAAGGGCCTGGGGAGACTAAACAGAGCAGGAAGGTTTCAGCCACTGCCCTCTCGCCCGTGGCCGGGGCTGGCTTCACTGTCCACCGCAGGAATCGCCGCCGTCTCCTGGCCCCCAGCAGCCTCCGCTTCTCTGCTGCCCTCGGCACGTGGCCTCTTTCCCCCGGCTCCAGGCTCCTCCGCGCAGTCCCCACGGGGCCGGCTCCCTCCATCCGCCCTCGGGGGCTCTGCCCTGGCCGGCTCCATGGTCTCCGCACGTGCACATGTCAGCTCCCACCTTGTATCTCCTCCTCCCCAGCTCTCAGGACAGGGATCCTCGCAGCCCCGTCCAGTGCAATTAGCCAGACGCCCCCAGCCCTTCTGTAAATTAGCCCTTAACCCTTTCCCTGCCAGAGCAAAACCCATCCCAAAATAGGCACTTTTAACATCGGGCATCCCAGCCCACGACAGGCGCGTGACGGCAGCAGAAGGTCCCTGAGCTCCGCACAGGGCGGCGTGAGCGTGACTCGCATGTCTGCCCCGGCGACTCATTTCCCCTGGGCCCGACCACGAGCGGAGCTGGATCCGGCAAAGACGCAACGTTTCCAAGGAAGCTGCATCTGCCCACAGCCCCGAGCAGGGGGGGAGGGAGCAGGTCCCCACAGCCACGGCCCCGAGCCGTCCACGTGAGCTGCGGCCTCTCAGGGGAAGCAGCGTCGGGGGCTGCTCCACCCAGGGGCCCGCGCAGAGAGGCGGGCAGCTCTTCCACGTGCGGGTCACAGAGCCCATTCGGGGGGTGCACACCCAAGGGATGC